AATAGGGCAGCTGCAATTCGTTCCAGGTAAAACGAGGTCCCCTTACATTTTAGGCGCGCTTGGAGAACGGAACAGAGAGAGCAGAAGGCTTGAGAAATGCTTTGCGCATCGCCCTGCTTGAAATGTTTTCCACGGAGATTTCGGTAGCCGCCCAGGAAGGCGGTTGAGATGCTTTTGGGAACAAAAGTCCAGTTTTATCCTTTTGGAAAGCCGTCCTGCCTGGGCCACAGCGTGACACCGAGCAAGCTGGAATAAGAAAGCAGGAAAGCAACACATATTCCACACACCCCCTTTTTTTTTTCTTTTTCCAAATTAGAAAGCATTATACTCAAAACTGCTCGGAAAGGTGAAGCATTTCAGAACAGAAGTGAAAAACAGAAGGAGGATAGGATCCGCAGAGAAGCCCTTAACAACTACTGAATGAGCTGGAGATGATAGGAGAGGTTCTCTTTGAGTTAAAATGCTCACCAGTGAGGCAGCACAAAGAAAGAAATATGCCAGCATTTTATGACACGCTTTTCCCCATTGTCAGTCCCTGTTCTCAGTCACTCTCAATGGTGTCGGCCTCGTTTGTCTTGGGCCTCTCGCTACACCGTTGTGTTTCTTCTTAAGTTTTGTTGCTGGAGGAACCACCAGTTTGGGCATTGCTGTGAGAACGAGGAGGACAGTTTCTCAAGAGCCACCCAAGCAAGCTAGCCAAAGAGCAAACAGCAGAGGAATTCAGGAGAAACTGCTGACTTTTTTCCCTCTCAAGTACTCGGTTAAAGTGACAGCTTTAAAAAAGAGCCAAAGTGTAAACAGGTGTGTAGGAGACCACGAGTGGCAACGCTCCTGGCAAGGTTGTCTTTGTGCCCAAGAAACAAGCTGGGATACATATGCAGCCAAGGCCAGCTTGAAACAGTCCTTGAAGGGGGGAGGAAAAATAAGTCAAAGGGCTGGAACGGTAAATGGCCTCCCAACAGTTGGAGAGAAAAGGGGAGGATTTATCCATTCGGAGAAAGAGGATGTGCGGGAGAAACAGGCGATGGAAGCAGCCTTCCACTTTTGGGAAGGGCCCAGAATCGCTCTGTGAGTGAGATGGGTGGTTTCTAAATTGATTGATTAGAGATGGATGGATGGATGGACAGACGGATGGACGGACAGACACAGACAGATAGACGGATGGATGGATGGATAGGTAGGTAGATGGATGGATAAGACAGACGGACGGACAGATGGATAGATGATAGATAGATAGATAGACAGACAGACAGACAGACAGACAGACAGATAAAACATGATGGATGGATAGATAGATAGGTAGGTAGGTAGGTAGGTAGATAGATAGATAGATAGATAGATGATAGATAGATAGATAGAGAGAGAGAGAGAGAGAGAGAGAGCTAGTTTTATCTAGCTAGCTAGCTAGCTAGATAAAACATGATGGATGGATGGATAAGATAATTAGATAGATAGGTAGGTAGATAGATAGATAGATAGATAGATAGATAGATAGATAGATAGATAGATAGATAGATAGATAGATAGATTAATAGAGAGAGAGTGATAGCTAGATAACTAGATAGATAAAACATGATGGATGGATAAGATAGATAGATAGATAGATAGATAGATAGATAGATAGATAGATAGATAGATAAGATAGATAGATAGATAAGATAGATAAGATAGATAGATGATAGATTAGATGTACCGGTAGATAAATATAGATATATAAATAGATAATTGAGGTAGATATAATGTATCATTGATAGATATAGATAGATTAATTGATGATCGATATAGATTGATAGCTATAGATACATACTGTATATAGAGAGACATAGAAATAGATGGTAGATGGTACATGATTGATAGATGATTAGAGAGATAGATTATAGATAAGAGAGAGAGAGAGAGAGAGAGAGATAAAGGAGCAAGCAAAGGAGGAGAGCAACAACCTGTTTTGTTTTGCTTAGTCATACAAGTTCAGTTCTTCCTCTCTGTCCCGTTTTCCCAACCATTGATAAAATAAGTTCCGTGTTTGAAAGCATCCCGTGTCTTCTTTTTTCCTTGATCTTCCTTGTAAGTCTGCCCGTTTCAGCCCAGTCTGGTATTTCCTTGATTATGTCTTCCTCCAGTGGTGTTTCTTCATTTTTCCAGCAAATACAGCCCTCGCCGCTGTTAATACATGTAATGTTAGATGTACCCTCCATTTATCCAGTTTTTTCTGGAATTATACCTAATTTTAAAAAAAAGTTCAGGTTTAAAGTCTGCCTGTTTCCCTAACTTTTTTTTTCTAACCAGGTATGTGTTTTTGTCCAGCATTTTTTTTTTTTTTTGCTTTAACACACATCCACCACAGGTGATAGTAGGTACCAGTTTTTTTTATTACATTTCCAACATTTACTGGACATATGTTTCAGAGATGGCCCCCACCGCCTGCCAGATTAGCAAAAACATTTAAAAATATGTCTAGCAAATGAGGGGGGGGCTCTTCCTTGTGGTGCAGGCCCTAGGAAGGAGGGGTCCTTCAGAGGCTCACTCAGTTAACTCGCTAATAATAATAATAATAATAATAATAATAATAATAATAATAATAATAATAATAATAATAATAATAATAATAATAATAAAGTTGAAAGGGACCTTGGAGGTCATCTAGTCCAACCCCCTGCTCAAGCAGGAGACCCTACACTATACTATTCCAGACAAATGGTTGTCCAATCTCTTCTTAAAAACCTCCATTGTTGAAGCACCCACAATTTCTGGAGGCAAGCTGTTCCACTGTTTAATTGTTCTCACTGTCAGGAAGTTTCTCCTTAGTTCCAGGTTGCTTCTCTCCTTGGTCAGTTTCCATCTGTTGCTTCTTGTCCTGCCTTCAGGCGCTTTGGAGAATAGCTTGACTCCTTCTTTGGGGCATCCCCTGAGATATTGGAAGACTGCTATCCTGTCCCCCCTCGTCCATTAAACTAGACACTCCCAATTCCAGCAACCGTTCCTTGTATGCTTTAGCCTCCAGTCCCCTAATCATCCTTGTTGCTCTTCTCTGCACTCTTTCTAGAGTCTCACCATCTCTTTTTACATCGTGGTGACCAAAACTGGATTATCACACCCTGCACGTTCACAGTCAGGACAGGGGGCCTCCGTGCCGATGGCAAGAGCAGCAAGACCGGTCGGGCTGAGGCCGGGGGGGGGGCTCCCCGGAGTGGGCGAGGAATCCTCCCATTCCGGCCGGGAAGGTTCCAGCTCCAGAGAGCTCCAGCTGCTTCTCTCTCTCTCTCTTGGGGCCGGTTCAGAGAAAGGTCCCGGGTGGGGAGAGGGTCGCCCAGGGGGACGCTGGCCGAGGGGGCGGACGGGACAGGCCTGCAGTTGGGGAGACTCCCGTTAGGAAGGAGCGCGGCTCAATCCGCGGCAGGGAGCCGGGAGGGGCAGCCAAGCTGACCTAGAAAGCTTCCCAGCTCCAACGCGCCTTGCGCGGGTCAGCGGTCCGGTGGGGTCAAGGAGCGAGCCCCTTCCTTGGGTGGGTGGGGGGACGCGGACTCCTGGGCTCGGCTCGGCTCCTTTCCGCGGGGGGCGGGCGGGCTGGGACCACTCGCCCTACACGCGAGCGAGGCGGCGAGGGAGGCAGCGACCTTGGGCGGGGGGGAGAAGCAGCGGAGGGAGAGGCGGGCGGAGGGCGGTCGCTCCAGGAGGAGGAGGAGGAGGAGGAGGAGGAAGAGGAGAAGGTGGAGGAAAAAAGGAGAAGGAGGAGGAAAAAGAAGAAGAGGAGGAAGAAAAGAAGGAGAAGGTGGAGGAAAAAGAGGAGGAGGAGGAAAAAGAGAAGGAGGAGGAGGAAGAAAAGGAGGTGGAGGAAAAAGAGGAGGAGGAGGAGGAAGAGGAGAAGGTGGAAGAAAAAGAGAAGGAGGAGGAAAAAGAAGAAGAGGAGGAGGAAGAAAAGAAGAAGAAGGAGGAAGAAAAAGAGAAGGAGGAGGAGGAAGAAAAAGAGGAGGTGGAGGAAAAAGAGGAGGAGGAGGTGGAGGGAAAAGAGGAGAAGGAGGAGGAAGAAAAGAAGGAGAAGGAGGAAGAAAAAGAGAAGGAGGAGGAGGAAGAAAAGGAGGAGGAGGTGGAGGAAAAAGAGGAGGAGGAGGAGGTGGAGGGAAAGGAGGAGAAGGAGGTGGAGGCAGCGGCGGCTGGTGGCGCTGGGTCGGCTGGCTCAGAGCGGAGCCGCTGGCTGGGCGCCGTCTGCGGGCGCGGGAAGGGCCGCTCTTATGGGCATGAAACACTCGTCCCGCTGCCTGCTCCTCCGGAGGAAAATGGCGGAGAACGCCAGCGAGAACGCCGAGGTAGGTAGCCGGCGCCGCCGCCTTCGCTCCCGGCTCCGGAGAGCCCGCCAGCCGGGAGACTGCCGCGCCTGCTTGCAAGCGGAGCGATCGCGGGACTCGTCCCCAGCCGGGATGGCGGCGAGGCGAGGCGGGCAGGCAGCGGTCGGTGTCCGCCGGCGGAGCTGTCCAGGGTGCTGAACGGGGCGGCACGGACCACAGGCGGCTGAAGCAGAGCGTTACTTGCGTGTGTGTGCGTGTGTCTCTCTCTCTAGGTTTGTGTTTGTGCATGCGTGTGTATGCGCGTGTGTCTATACCGCTGGATTCTCAGTTTCGTAGCCGTACCCCAAACTTCAACACCGGGGTTCAAGGAGTTTCTCCTGCCCTACGTGGAGCGCGCTGCTCGTTGCCTTGCTTTGCCTTTTCCCGGCGCGGGTGCCAGCCTGGCTCTCCTTTCCTACCACCCCCCCACCACTTCTCCCCCCACCCCCCCACCCCAGACTTAAATGCGGGAAAGCTTTCTGAACTCCCGCGAACGGAGGAAACGGGAGCAGAAGGATCTTGGGAGAAGATAATTGAAGCCGTACATCATCAAAAGGAGAGAGGTGCTAATGGCTGCGAGGCAGCAGCTGTGAGCGGAGGAAGTTAAAAATAGCCGCAGAGAGGCAGGTGGGGGCACATCTGTAATCCGTCGAGAGGGCAGCGGTGGAGGACATGTCACTCACGGAGGTCTTGCAGTTCTGCAGGAGCTGCCGGACAGCCCGTCCCCCGGGGTTATGGCTTTATTTTGCAGACCAGGGGGGGAAAAAAACCCTTCCCCCCTCAGCAGAAATGTATTCTTTGTTTTAATCTCCTCTGTCGGAATCATCTGAATGTATCTTCCCCTGATTTCTGGGTTTTTGTTACTCTTTGGGAAGACTCGTCTCCACCAGCCTCTTAGTTCCAGCGATGCCAACGGAAATAATCTGCAACAGCTGGAATAAAGTCTAGCCAGTACTTCTTGCGAAGGTCTTCTTGACCATCTGGCTGACCCTGTTGGAAGCACATTGTGGTCTTCCCCAATCCAAAGGGTAACGAAATTATAATCCTTAAAAAGGGGATGAGGGGATAAATGTTCTCGGTTCCGTAGCATCTCTGTCATTCTTCCCTTTCTCTTCTCGCTTTCTGAGCATCTTCTTAGCATGCATCATCCCCACCACAACTTCCACTTCAGAATTGAGATGGGATCCAGACAGAGGGAACCCTGACATAACGAAAGCACAAATGCACCGCCATCCAATCTTTCTCAGATGTCAAGGTTGCTACCAACCATAATAGGAAAATTGGGGTTCAGGCAATTTTAGGGGCAAGGGTTACAGATAGTGTGCTTTTTTAAAAAAAAAAAATGGTCTCCTTTACTTGGATTGTTAGATGTCCGTTCAAATGTAAACGCCAATGCGGATTGTAATTGTACTTGTAAGGAAAGGAATCCCACCATCCTGGGCCAAGTGTTTCAAAGTAAGCCCCCACCCCAACCCCAAATTTAGCTCTCCCAGCCTTCTGCTTAGGTCTGATTCTCCTAAGATTTTCCATAAGCAGAAAGTGATATCTTTTTAGTAGCCGTGAATTTATTGGAAGCATTGTGTTCTGTTCTGAACTCACTGTTAACCTTTTTGACTGAATTCTGGTGTATTGAGAGGAGAAAGAACATTTGATTCCGGTGATCTTGTCTGAACCGTTGTTTTATGAATGCAGCACGATCGTTAATAGGCAGCCAGGAATAAAACATCTTTGCCTTGAAAATGAGTCAAGAGCCATAAAATAGACTTTATTTTTACATCTGTTCTTTCATGACACAGAAATATAATATCTCTACATTTAAAAAAAAACCCTCTAGAGCAGTGATTCTCAGTCTTTTTTTTCCACCATGGACCCCCGTTAAATACCTCTTGCAGCCACGGAATGTGGCCATGGACCCCCGAGACTTAACTCAAGATCTGAATCATAACCTTTCTTCAAGACTTTACGGACCCCCTATGATGAGATTGGGGCCCCCAAGGACCACCGGTTGAGAACCACTGCTCTATAGGATACCCAAAGGAGAAGGAGGAAGAGCTGGAAAGCTGCACACCATCTAACCATCTCATATTAGCAAGATATTAGAGCAAGTTGCCAAGCAGGGGGATACTGAGAAAAGATACTACTGTTACCAGAATAGGATAGGGTAGGGTAGGGTAGGGTAGAGTAGAGTAGAGTAGAGTAGAATAGAATAGAATAAGAAATGAATTAGAATAGAGTAGAGTAGAGTAGAGTAGAGTAGAGTAGAATAGAATAGAATAGAATAGAATAGAATAGAATAGAATAGAATAGAAAGGGACCTTGGAGGTCTTCTAGTCCAGCCCCCTGCTCAACCAGGAGAACCTACACCATCTCAGAAAGGTGAATGTCCAGTCTCTTCTTAAAAATCTCCAGTGATGGAGCGGCCACGATTTCTGGTGGCGAGCTGTTCCACTGGATGAATTTGTTAAGAACACCTTGTGCCTGCCTAATCTGACCTCCTTTTGGTTCATCATTGTGTAAACCAAGGGAACGCTGTGGATGCAGTCAATTTTAAAAGCATTCGATGAAATCGCTCACGAGACTCTTCTGGACAGATGGCTAGATGTGGGTCCAAAGGTGTAGTGGCAGAGTAAATTTTCAACTGGTTGAACAATCGCACCCAAAGGGTGTTCATAAATGCCTCTGTGTCACAATTCCAAAGGGCTGGAGTGACTTGACCGTCGGGCTAGAGCTGATAGAATGATGGACAGCAGGGACCAATCTAAGCTCCTGCATCTGGGCCTGGAAAAATAAAATGTATGGGGATGGTGATGGAAAGACCTGGTTGGAGGAGATGCTTGGGGAAAGGATCTAGGATTCTAGTCAACCACCAGCCAATCACGAGTGAGCTGCGTGATGCAGCAGCATAAAAAGCCATTGCAATGTTGGCTGCCTTTACAAAAGTATTCTGTTTGATTATCAAAAGGAAAGTTCTTCTCTGTGTAGAGAGAATATGGGATAGAATAACAGAGTTGGAAGGGAGCTTGTAGGTCATCTAGTCCAACCCCCCCACCCAAGCAGGAGACCCTACACCATTTCTGACAGATAGTAGTCCAATCTCTTCTTGAAAGCTTTCAGTGATGGAGCTCCCACAATTTCTGGAGGCAGGTTGTTCCATTGGTTGATTGTTCTCACTGTCAGAAAATTTATCCTATTTCTAGGTTGAATCTCTTCTTGATCAGTTTCCATCCATCATTTCTTGTCTGGCCTTCAGGTGCTTTGGAGAATAGCTTGACTCCCTCTTCTTTGTGGCAACCCCTGAGCTATTGGAAGGCTGCTATCATGTCTCCCCTGGTCCTTCTCTTCATTAAACTAGACACACCCAATTCCTGCAACCGTTCTTCCTATGTTTTAGCCTCCAGTCCCTTAATCATCTTTGTTGCTCTTCTCTGCACACTTTCTAGAGTCTCAGCATCTTTTTTGTATAGTGTGGTGTGACCAAAACTGGCTGCAGTATTCTAGGTGTAATCTTACTCGGACTTTATAGAGTGGTATAAGTACCTCATGCGATCTTGATTGAATCCCTTTGTTAACGCAACTTATGCAACTATGCCCGTTTCTGGGAGCTGCACTTTAAAAGGGACCTGAAGCAGATTTAGCTGAAAGCTACTAGAAAAACCCAGAGTGTGGACTGATGGGAGTTACCCCTGTTTAGCTTGTAAGAGAGGACAATAGAGGGAGATGTGAGAATGGTCTACAAAGGCTGTCTGATACAACAAGGGCAGACTTGGTCTTGAGCAAAAGGGAGAGAAGTAAAAGACAGAAGGTTGAGATGAGAAGGAAGGCAAGTCAAGTTGGACATAAGGAGGAATTTCCTGATCTGGAAAGGTGTTGAGTAGGTGAGGATGGTGGTGGGTTACCATCACTGGGGATTTATGAACAAGGGCTGGAGAGCTACCTGTTAGGTGTAATTTAGTGAAGCAAAGGGTTGGAGTAGATGACCTGTAAGACCCTTTTCAATCACACTTTCTATGATTCTTCCCTAGCCTTGTACTCTTTGTAGCAAGGACTTGAATAAGGAAATGGAAGGAACATCAACCAAACTCATAGACTCTACGTCACTCAACTTAAGAACTGTTTTCATGTATTTCCTCCCCTTTCCCCATTATTTCTACTCTCTCTTGTTTCTTAAAAAAATGCACATATTACATTTGGAAAGACAGTGTTGGCAGATGCTTTTGGTGGGGCCCAATTCATTGTTCAAGTTCCAGAGGTGTGCTAGAAAGAACCGCTGCCCTTAAAGTAGAGAGACCCGAATCCACATGTGATTTTTCATCTCTCTCCACCAGAGTCAATCAGAACAAGACCTTGGTTTTGTGGGTGGCGTAATTCTTTGCACCCCTCCCGGCTGCTTTTGAAAATAGGTTTCAGGCTATTTATAAACTGCAGAAAGTTGAAGCTGGAACAGAGAGGTCATCTGATTGAGGGGTGAACCTGCTAGTTTATTTCTATTTGCCAATTGTACCACTTCACTTTGTTGCTATGGTGCTATTTTTCAACCTTTCCAACGAGCTTGAGTGCCCACTCTTACTATTTTTGACACATGATACCAATTTCCTTCAGCACAACATTTATAACCATAACATTTAGGAAACAAGTCACATTTGCTTGACATTCAAGAATGTTTAAAAAGGGGGAAGCCAAGCCACAGAGAGATCTATAATAGAGTTGAGGGTTGTTTCTTCAGGCACGTAGGGACATCCTTCACCATCTCCTGCGGAGATGTAAAGTGTGGTGAGACCAGAGTCACCTCGAGCCAAAAGTTAAGAGCAAGGAGATCAAAAGATCTGTCATACCAGAAAGAAACTGGGACAGAGTTGTCTTATGGGAAAGGCCAGTCTCTCTAAATATGGCCTTTTTGTTTCCAAGTGGAAGAGCACAGGATAACCGCCAAATAGGAAGAATTGGAGGCTTATTATATCCCTAGACACGGGGGACATATCCTC